AGAATGACAATGGGTGGTTTAGAAAGATTACATTGTTTTTTTACACTGTTCCAACCCAGGCTTAAGCAGTATTTTACCTAGAACATCAGAAGCCGTTTTCACATACGCAAAAAAAACCTCACTGCCATTAATAAATAAGTAAATATTTCGAAATTGGTCTACATATTTGCAGATTAGTTTAAGCATTTGTGGATCTTTTTACACATTTGTGGATCTGTGTGTGCATTTGTGGATCTATTTACGCATTTGTGGATCTGTGTACGCATATTCAAATAGTTTTGCCACAATAATAGCTCCATACATTTCTATGCGTTGTGCAGCAGTCACAGTTTACAAATGTCACTCCCCCTCCTATTGGCTCGAAGTGAATTCTCTCACATCAGCTCAATCGGACTTGCTGTGGAAAAAGTACTAGGGGTCTGGCAGGAGAAACTCTGGGAGAAGTCGCGAGAATTTGAATGTTTGCGTTCACATATACAGCTCCTCCTGGAAATATCCTGATTTTTCAAGGCGATTTCTGCAAGTGTGAAAGCCCTAATACAGTGTATCCTCATCCTGGATATTCCGACTCTTTCTAATGTTGTTGTTTCATTTCTGTATATTGCCTTTAGCTTTCCATTTTGAATGTATTACGTGAACCAACCACGGGCTAATAAGATTGTTAACTGCTTTCTAGGTGGCCAACACAACTCCCTAGTCATCTGGCACAACTTAATATTCACAACTGAATGACCCATTCTTGACAGTTCACTGACTCCATTCAGCCCCTGAAGGCACCAATGAGAGCATAGTCACAAAAGACCAAAATTGAGTCCAGTATTCTCATGACCCATCTTCATAGCAATGACTGGCATATTACCAAACTGAAATGCTTCAACAACTTAGCACTTTCAGGGGGATTGTCTCATGTACAAATTCTTGAGGGGCTTGACTTGTGATCTTTCAAACAGTCCTCCAATTGTGACATGCTAAGTCAAGATCCTGACTCTGAAGCCTGGCCCCAAAAGCCCTTTGTTCCTCTGAGAAACTCTGAATAAATATTCCAAATGTTAGAGTTAACTTCTAGAAACAGGGCAACTGAGTAGTACAAGTATACAGTTATTCAGGGAAAATAAGGGTAAAATGTTCTGAAATGTTTTTTAATTCACATAATCAGTAATAATGTTTTATCTCACTGTCATGATAAAGCAAACTTCTTTATTTTTTGACTATTTCAGAATTATTCTCTGATATCATTTAACACATTCTTAAAAAACATATTTTCTATCTTACCCAACTTAAATACAGATTTGGCTGAGTTTGACAAAGTTTTTGAAATTCTGTTTTATTGTCCAATGATTTCTTGGAAATTAGTTGTGAACATGTCATGGATACTTTAAAGAAATGTTTCTAAAATTCTGATGATGATTTACATTCAACTTTGACCAAAATGTTAATGCCATTCACTAATAATTGGTATATTGTGATGGTAAAGGTTCATCTGTTGCTTACTTATGCTCTCCCTTTCTGTAAGTTTTGCAAAGTTTTTTAATGGACAAGGCCTTTATTTTGCTGGGAAAATTGGAGGTTTCCATTAAAATTACGGCTGCTATTGGCCAATCAGAAATAAACATGCAAATTTAGAGGTTCATCCAAAATATTTGCTTCCCGAGTCTTTTTTAGTTGCATGTAAGTTCAATGACATGATGTTAAGCCATGGATCTTATAGTGACAAAACAAAGAGGAATACATGGAGCAGATCAATCAACATACAAAATGTGTCCAATCAATTATTAACAACTTCAAGTGACACACTGACGACAGCTTATAAAGCTCTGCCCTACACAAACACCATAAACAGACTCTGACTCCCTTCTTTTCCTTTGGCATCACATTTGTGGACATTAGCTGTCATCCTGCAGACATTTAATGATATTATTTCTGAGAAGGAACAGTAATGTAATCTTATGCAGAATAATGATGGCATACGACTGTGTTACAAGATCTGCAAGGGAGAAGTGAACAATGGAGTGTTTGTTAGCTGTGTTAGTCCACATAGTTTCTGCTTGCCATAACACAGCGAGATGACATACGTCACACAGGTTGTTGTGTCAAAGGAGAAGCTGTCAACAACAAGTAGCAAATCAGAGCGTATTTATTTCCCCTGAGTCACCAGGTCACTGATGGCCCTCATCATCCTACATTTGGTTTATGAGCTTAAATAATTAATAAAAATATATATAGTAGAATAGGTTACTTTCATAAGAACAGAAATCAATGATGGTTTTTGAAGGCTGACACCAATAACGTTTTCAAAGTGAAACTGCTACAGGCCTAAGTTAAAGATAATCTGAAAACAATTGTTTTGACTACAGCTGAAATTATATGAAAGACAAAAGATGTTTAAGGGGGATTTTAATGTGAATAAAATATGAGTAGAATTAGTCTTCTATGAACCTTCTATGTCAATAAGATGAAAAGCGTATTTTAATGAGGCTGTGGTCCTGGAGGAATTGCAGAGGTGTACCACCACATCACTGACTGATGAATATTCTAAAAAATAAAACACTGACCTGATACATTGCTCCAAGCATAATCAATTGAAGGCGTTTCCAATAAATGTAAGACAGGGGACTTGCACACTTGCGCATAACCTATAATATTTACTTCTTCCCTGCCAGCCAGGTGAACAGAGCGCACACTCAGCACCACACAAAGCAGGGCCCCTAATTTGTTCAACTAAAATTTCTTAATTGGATGACGAATGAGCCATGAAACTTCCCAGCAGCCAGCTTTTGCTCTGTCTGGCTTTGTGTACACAGAGGAAGCTCATGAATATCTGCAGACCTAATGTTTGACTGTGGAACACGAAGGCACCCAGCAGCTGCTTATGGGAACAAAAAAAGAAAAGAGACCTTAAAAACAAGTGGACCAAAATGGTGGGCCAGACAGAAAACGCAAGAGGTGTCCATTTGAAGACATTAGTGTTGGACAACATCAAAGATCTTCAAGCATAAGATGCTTTCAAGCTTCAAAGACCTGCAGATGATTTCAATTTGCACCACTATTACGCACAAGAACATTTCTGTGCTAGCAATGTAATGACTCATATAGTCTAGATAATAATTTTTAAATGAATCAAAACCTATTTCTTCAGATCCTCCAGGGTTTATTGTAGACTTTTAATCAGTGATTCATGTTTGTGTAGGTGAGCAGCTGGGGAACTCATCCACTGCAAATATTGATAAATACACCTGAATGAATCTCTATCTCTTCCTCTGTTTCTGCAGTGATAACATCAATTCATAAGCATCTATGGAGAAATCAGGAACATCAACAAAATATGATATGATTCCTGATCCACTGCAAGGGGGCTGGCAGTAAAAATAAAAAATAAAAAATAAGACACACCAACAAGCCATGAAAACAAAATGCTAGACTGCAAGTGACAAGGGGAGTTGCACAAAATAAGCAAGTGACCTTTGGTTAATAAGCACTCAACAAGATGGTGATTTCACAGGTCTGCGTTGCTGATAAGGACAGGAAAGCCAACAGGTGCACTTTGCAAACACACACTCGCCTATAACATAAAAAGTCAGCGTCACACACATGAGCCAGCTTTTGATGGATGAAAAAGAAATGAAGTTACTGCTTGGAAAAGGAAGCCTCCCACTGCTGTGCATTCTCAGCTGCTTGGCATGGAAACAGGGAACAATATCGCTTAGTTGGATGTCCCTGCGCAGACTTTTATAGGTTTCTTTACCCCTTTCATGGGCTTTATTTGTTAGGAGATCATAAAACGGGTGTAACATTAAAGTAAACTACACCCACTGGCCCAGGCATGTTGAGGAACTGATTAATATGCACCTACCTTTACACACCCTTTGAACATGGAGCTCACACAAGGGAGTCAGTGGATTAAGTTAAACGTTAAAAAAATACTCCATAAATTCATGCAATCAGTAGGTTCATGTCTGAGCAGTGAGCTGTGAGGAGGGAGGTGGACCGCCCTGCAGCAAATAAAGGCATGTCTCTGCACAATGTACGTGTGTGTGTGTGTGTGTGTGTGTGTGTGTGTGTGTGTGTGTGTGTGTGTCCATCAGTGACATTGCAAATGAAGAGCACTGCACTTTCAGTTCTCATACAGACTCTGTTCATGAGTTTTAGGCCCAGACCTCCTGTTGGCTTTTTTCACTTAAAACTGTGATCACAACAACACATCAATATTTAAATCCACCGACAAACAGGGGCTGCTGAGGAGGATCTGCAATGCGTAGCCAGCCAAGCTCCATCCTGGTGCGACCCATAACGTTGCCAACCTAAGCACTAGGCCTACTAATATCAGAATAAACCTGTGTGGTTTAATAACACTGACTCAACAACGTGGGGGGGGGGAACACATCAGCAATAAGTGTTCATCTAGATTTATTGAAAAAAAAAACATGTTTTTTTTTTTTTCCTAAGGAGTACAGTGAGTACCAAACACAAGTTAAAAATAATCACGAAAACCCCTGCAGAGGCTGAGAATTATTTTTTCATCCTAAAACAAAAAATTATGAAGCGATAGAAAAAAACTAACCAAAAATAGACTTAATGCAGAAGACGGAAGGGGGTCGTTTTCGTTTTCGTGGCCTTGGTATTATCTTTAAAGTAGCCTACTCCGGGTATTTGACATTTAATATAAAGTCATATATAAATACAACAGCTGTAGTTAGAATTTATTGTTCTATTGTATTTTCTTTGCAGGTAAAATAAACACAATATCGCGTGATGCACTTGCTGTCGGCGGGATACTCCGCGACATCATCTGCTGCGGCTCGGGAGATGACCATCCCAGAACAGGTTACATTTCATCCCTCTGGACGGAACACTTGCTCTCTGCGGTAACCTTCACTGTCAGGAAACAACCAGAAAGCTCCGGACAACCACTTACTTTCAGTTCATACGGTTCAAATCCATAAAATAAACCTGTCCGACACGACAAGACAGGCAACGCACAATATAAATCCCAGCTTAGTTACCTTTAGCTGCCTCCACCGCACATAATAGTCCGAGGACCAGTCCGACAGCGGATGCAAATTGCGTATTCCCTCGGAACCGCATCCCGACTTCGAGTTCAACGGCGGGTGAAGTGAAAACAACCTTCTTCTTCCCTTGCCCGTCAGCCGAAATATTTCTCCCAACAAGAAAAAATTTTAAAAAAAATCCAGAAGATGAGAGTCGGTTACCACGGTAGCTCTAAGATGGCCGTCGTCGCCACCGCCGCTCTGCTATCCCCCTTCAATCACCGCTTCTCTCGCAGTTTTGCAGCTTGCTACATTCAGGGACCGTCGGACTTTTTTTAGGCGAGTCTTGAGCGCAGTAAATCACACAGACACATTGTGTTATGCAGTCTTGCGTCCCCTGTGATATTTATTATCCAGCCTACTGTATAATCACTGAATCCCAAAGTTTACATAAAGTGTGTGCGTTTACTTAGGGCTACAACTGGCAGGTCTACTGGTAGTCTATTAGAAAAACCTGATGAAATAGACTTTATTTCCCCCTTTCTTTGATTATAATTCAGATCCCAGACTTTTTTTTAATTCAAAAGTATCCGTAATCCAAGGAAAATAGCATTATCCTACATGTAAGTCATCCTAAACTATAAAAACAGCATTAGAGAGTGGTCGCCTACGTAGGACCCTGAAGTTTATTCTGGTCTAATTTTTAACAACTTAATCACTTACCCGCCTATCGTATTTGTAAATGTTAGCATATTGACCTTTATTATTTTTGATTTGTTTTTTAAATAGGCCTTAAATAAGCTGTAGGATAACACAACCTCACTTCAAATCTGGAGCCAAGACAAACTTAACAACCTTCCTTAAAGACAGGAGATCATGGCTGATGTAATGGTAAGCACTTCATTTTCTCCCCACATCAGGATAATTCAATCATACATGGAAGCTTAGTTTTGTTTTCTGAAAATGTCTTCATGATCAGATGAAATAGGCTATAGGCCTAAATCTTTATAAAACAGCACTATATTGTATGAGAAATAATACATTTAATAATTGTCCCAGGGGAAAGACCGAAAACAATCTCTAATAGAAGCTTTTCTAGTTTTCTAGTTCAGTTTTTCGACATGACAATGCAGTCACAAGGATAACTGCAAAAAACAAGTCCAAAAGATCATCAGGACAGATCATCTCAGTTGTGCACAGACAGACCTGTGTTCTCTTATTAGGTTGAATTAGATTGTATCACTATGTTGTTATCTAACCTACTATGTACGGTGAGTGCTCAGAAGTCGAAGCTTAATAGGTGAACCTGAATGCAGCACGTGTCCAACGATGGCCAGTGACGTCAACACTTTTATTGTGGGAGAGCGTGCAGCTCGTTTAGCACAGACGGCTAAACTAAGACCGAGGGCGGAGGGCAGATGCCTTCTGGTGGTACAAAGAGGTCTGTAAGGATACAGACACCCAGTGATGGTCGTAATGGAGTTAAACACAACTAAGGATGTAGCTCAGTGTCTATAACAGAAACCTTGAAGGTCTCCGTTTTCACGAAAATTGCAATTTAACAGAAATTTTCTCCATCTTTATACAGGCTGTAAGACAGTTGTAAGACAGAAATGTAAGGTTTTAGGTTTTAGGCTCCTCAGTCTCAAAGAATTTATCTTGGTGCAGGGTATTGCAGGCAAGTGTCGACCCATACTACATGCTGCCTGCAGGCCCCTTGTAAATAATCCTGGCACGGTCAAATTGATATTTCAACTACATGACACCACAATAATAGGCTTATATCAAATTAAAGTGTGAAAATACTTCTGTGCCTTATGAATCTAAAAAGTTGTTTAATCCTGTATTCCAGACAGGCGAGAAGGGACTAGTCAATCTGAAGAACATCCTTGCTTTACTTTTGCCCAAAATGTGTTCTGCTGTTGAAGAGACTTCATTCAATAAAAATGAGCTTTAAATTGATCATTAATGAGTTAACTACTATCCTCATCCTGCTGAGCTACATTACAAAAAGAGAAGGGCATTGTGAGTATATAGCAAGGCCTCAAATTGAACATGTGGTTGGGAGCTGCTATCTAATCAACACTCTCCGATATTGCTAGCACCCCTGGGAAAGAGGATACAGGAAATCAAAGAATGATTCCCAAACATCCCCTTCGGTTTTTTTACACAACACTCAACAACCTTGATATGACTGGTACTTGTGACAATTCATACAGATATGACTTTACATAATTTGTTATAGGGAGGCTCTGTAAAAAAAAGGTCAACCGAGTATAGAAGGGGAAATAAATTGAACATGATTTCCTTTCCTGCCTTCTCCTATAGACAAAATGTGGTTTTCCGCCTTTGTATATTCTCCTATTTATTTCCACCTGGTTAATATCTATATATCTATATACATATATATAGATATACTTCTATATCTATATATAAATATTGCACAAAAAGTAATGACATTTGTGATTGGTAGATTATTTCGTTGTTGTAACAATGCTTCTTATCTTATACCGTTGGAAAGCCTGTTTATATTCCTTTTAAATGGAGCCACATTTATAAGGCACATGCATTTGTGGGATAAGCAGCAGAGCTGAGTAGGCTATATGGGTTGCGCCCATGAAAAACTTCAAGTCTTCAAGTATTTTCTGCCAATGCCAAACAGCTCATTCTGCTGTTGTTTTTTGAGCTTCTCGCTGGTGTCTGCAACACACTGGAACCTGAATATGTGGATGAACGTTATGTTCAGCAATGAGTGCAGATTCTGCCTTCAGCAGTTGGATCGTAGAGTCAAAGTGTGGAAAAGACGCAGAGAACACTATGCTGATTTCTACACCGTTAGGGTAACAGCTTATAGCAGAGGCAGTGTGATGATGTGGGGCGGCATCTCCCTCGCTTAAAAAACAAGGCTTGTCATCAGTCGAGGCAATCTCAGTGCAGACATATATCGAAATTAGATTCTTCAGCCTTTGGCAATCCCATATCGCCACAGTCTGGGACCAAACTCTATCCTCCAAGATGACAAAACTTGCCCCCGCACAGAGCAGGCTTTATCAGAGACTACCTCCAGGATTTGGGAGTGGAGAGAATGGAATGGCCTGCCTGCTGTCATGACCTCAACCCCATTGAACACTTGTGGGATCAGCTTGGGCGTGCTGTTCATGCCAGAGTGACCAACACAACCACATTGGCTGACTTGCAACAAAGGCTGGTTGAAGAATGGGGTGCCATCCCACAGCAGTGTGTGACCAGGCTGGTGACCAGCATGATGAGGGGGTGCCAGGCTGTTGGGACTGTGTATGGTTCTTCCACATGCAACTGAGGCTCCTGTTTGTTAAATGAATAAATTGTTAAATTGCCAATATGTCTTGTTTCTTCAGACATCAATCATCCTATCCACTAAACAAGAATGAACCGCAGAATAAGCTGTTTGGCATTGGCAGAGACGATTTGGCAAAATTTTCAGGGGCGCAACCCACTTACTTAGCTCTGCTGCTCATCCCACAATGCATGTTCCTTATGAATGTGGCTCCATTTAAAAGGGAAATAAACAGGCTTTCCAACAAGATTTATTGCCAAGAAGCATTATTACAACAAATAAATAATCTACCAACCACAAATTAGCTTACTTTGTGTGTGATGTTATGTAAATATTTAAAGGGCATTTTAAAAACCATAAAAACAATAGTGTATCTGGGTATTGAAAGAATAAAGTCTATCTCTTAGACTTCAGTGCAGTCTCAATAGTTGCAATTTCCACAGAGACACAGAAGACAATGGTCATAGTTGAGTGAGGCCACAATTAAGTGATGGTTCTATAAACTGGGACAGTCTGTGAGCATCAGGGCAGCAGTAGAGCTGAAGCACAAAGCCTGTTTGTCTCCGCTTTGGCAACACATGAAGTGGTAAAGAGAAAGTGGAAGCAGCCCCCCTCCCTCACAGATGTCTGACACTCCGGGGAAGACACAAAGCGGCCATTATTATTATGCTGGGTGACAATGGGCAGCAGTAGGAGGGCTTGGTGAATAGGTGTGAGACATCAACTAACAATCAGAAAAGGTGTTACTTCGTCCAGAGCAGAGTTGTTTTTCCTGCTTCTATGTATCATTTACATGAAGACTTGTCGTCTGTTTTCATTTTCATGCTTATTGCCTGTTGCTTTTGTACTTTTCTTTATTTGAGAATCACAGTTGGGTTCCTGATTTTGGAACAAAGTTGTTGACTTCTAACACCTTATAATGTACTTTCATCTATAAGAACACTTTTAAGGGTTAGTTCAACTGAAATTGGTACTTGACTAACTTTCCATTTGTATTCCACAGATTAAAAGAAATCTTTCTTGTCACAGCCTCATGGAGATGAATCAGTTTTTGTTCATGGTGCTCACAGTACTGAAACTCAACATGTAAAACATGCAAAGGAGTTTTCCCTTGTACAAAACTATGTACTGTATTACCTTCTGTGAGGAGGAAAGAAAGGCTTAATAAAAAAACATTGAAATTAAGTTATGTGCATGTTGCAGCTTCAAAAATATGAGAATGTGCCACAATTTATTGCTCAAAACTAAAGACACATTTTAGATCATAGCACTTGCACTTTTTGAGATTAAACTAAACTTTTTCATAAAATCAGCCTGTAATTTTTGTATTTCCTAAAACAAAGCCTTAATACTTTCTAGATGCTATTCAATTGGAAACTGTAAATTAAGTGCACTTACATTCAGCTTCTCTACCACCAAAGTGCTTTTACAGTTTCTCTCATTTAATTTGGCTCAATTCTCAAATGAGAATTTCCTTTTTTCAAAACATTAAGCTCAACTCTCTGAACAATTAGGGTTTGTATTTTTTTACAACAGATTAGAATGTCTTGTTTATTTTTGGTGCAAGTACATGGGTGAAAACGATTAAGTACAATCGTCTACACACTTGAAAAATAATCACTCATAACGACTGATGAAAACTGAACTTCTCAGTGAAACTGTCAAACTCTGCACAACTTCGTAGCTCATTTTTGAGCCTCCAGACAAAGATACAGGGATGAGATACACCACATTATTTGGATGGTGGAAGGTCACGAATGCCTCATACCTGCTCACATTATTCAAAATCCTTCCACCTCACTTTCCAGCCTTCTGCCTCAGTTATAAACTCTGTCACTGTGGATGGGGGCTGTATAGGTTTGGGGTCAAACATTTTCAGTCGCTGACCTTAGTTAAAGATGTTATTGTGGGCTGCAGTAATGGTGGGCGGTTTGCAGCAGATGGAGCATGAAAAAAGACTTTCCTATCATT